ATCCATGCAACTGCAGCCAAGTACAGAGCTGAGATATAGGTGTACATATTATGGAATGTTCCTACTATAATTCTTGCTGTGCTAACAGGCCATTCACGGAGCTTAGATTTCTTCATGATGGCCTCCCTCACCCACATTTCTGTCACCTAGGAATGCCCTTTTTTTCTTAAGACCTTCACCTGAGGCCACACTGATTCAATTTCAGGTGGGCTCAGTTTAAAGTTTCCCCGTGGTGTATCTGACCAGAATAGCAAGATGTCAAGTCAATTGTATTGTGGAAACTTTATCTACATCAATTGCATCTAAAGACCACCAATCCTTAAATCACCATACATAACTAATCAATCCTCCAGGCAATGCTTGGACATTTGAGCAAGAGTCAGCTCAACTCAACTGTCAAGTTTTCCACCCTTCTGAAGCCATTGTGAACATTGATCCTTCAGCAAAATTTGGCAATTAAACACTGAATTTGATAAAGCAAACATCAATTTGTAAATTTGACTGCACAATCAAATCTCCATGATAAATTGACAGTTATCTATTGATATAAACGACACACTGAATTTACTCACATACATAGTAAAAATACAGCAACTCTGGTGAAATGACACTACCAATCAAATTTGAGGCTAACAATTGGTAATACCCAAAATTATGGATATTGACATATATGTCTTGATATTTCAAGACAAGTCACAAACTACAAACAATCTGCTCCACACACTTTACAGTATATAGATCTGCAGCTAAATCCAGGGAGTGGGATCTCTTCCAGTGCATAATATAGGTTATGAAGTATGTTCTGGAACTGTTGCATGTATAACCAAAAACAATAACAAGGATTTCCTGCTTGAGCAATCTTTGAACAAGCATATGCTCTAGCATCCTATGTTGATCAAGTTCAGTGGAGCCCATATTATACCTGCGGCGCCCGCCGCCCAATTTGACTAGTCATCTTTACTAGGAGGGTAAGCAGGAATTACAAACCTATATACATATTGCTAGAAACGAGAAAGCCGATGATAGCTTTCCTCGATGTTTCTGATATAAATATCGTCATACTCATACATACTTGTTTACTCCTTTTTCCGCCCCGGATAGGGAAATTGGAGAGACATCATACCTTACGACGCCGAAATGCGTAAAGTGTTTGCCATCAAACCTCACTTATCATTCGCCGATTTCGATAGCAACGAGTTGGAACACGTCAAGTCCATGGCGTGGCCTAAAGCCTCTTCGAGCTCTCTTACTCGCTCTTCAGTTCCTATGCCTAGCGGCTCTACGTCTTTTACGCCAAAATCTCATGGCCCGAGGCCAACGGTGGACAGGAACAGGTCCTCCCGCTCTCAACAAACTCAATTCAAAATCAAGCCTACGGAGGGCCTGCCGCGCAATCAGACTGTTTGCGGAGGCTGGAATCTCGACAAATGCCCTGACCCGCCAAAATGTGGCAGGATTCATGACATCTGCGACGTTATGGGGTGTTACAAACCCCATAAGCAAATCAACCATCCCAAATGACCTGTCTTTTGACGCGACTAAGTTTAAGGAGGATCTAGTTCGCGAGATGACGGAGCGTGACTACGGGACTCGATCTTTTAAGCGGGGCTACAAATGGGAATGGCCAGGGTCTAAAGGATATTCCAACGCCATTGATTCTAGTTTGACGGCGGAGCCTCTGGATGCGCCTCCTCCGCTATCGGACGATCCGAAAGCAGCATATGCCCTGAAGCAATACTCGTCATTCTTTGCGTTGACATCTCCTATTGATGTAAACATGTTTGAATTCCTATTACGAGATCACCCTAACAGACCCTTTGTCGAGTCGGTGGTACAAGGGTTACGCAAGGGTTTCTGGCCCATGGCAGATCTGCCTTCCGAATAGGTGTCTTTCGTGAAGAATCACCAGGTGTGCAATCAGGTGCCCGATCTGTTGACGAAAGCGTGCAAAGAGGAGGTGGAAGCAGGCAGGTATTCGGAAGGTTTTCACACTTTATTGCCCGGCATGAAGGTATTGCCTTTGTTATTAGTAGCTAAGAAGGGTTCTTCAAAGATGAGAGTGTGTACAGATATGAGTTATGGGAAACCGTCGCTAAACGATCACATCATCAAGGATCGTATGAAAGTGTCTTTTGACTCCCTGATTTCTTTCGCACCCTATATGGTTGAGATGGCAAAGAAGGGGATACCGCTTATGCTATGGAAGTCGGACGTCCAGAATGCTTACAGGATTCTGGCAATGGCTTTGGCTTGGCAGTTACGCCAGATAGTCTGTATAGATAACATGTTTCACGTGGATCGGTGCGCAAATTTCGGTTCGGCAGCATCACCGAAGATTTGGTGTTCATGCTTTTCTTTGGTACTTTGGATTGCGAGGACAAGGATGGGGATCAGTAGGATGAATAATCTCATGGATGACATGTGGGGGGTAGCTCCCATGTCCTCCATGGTGGTCTTCAAAGGACATCAGGTCCCTCTCCACCAGGCAAAACTGTTGCTTCTATTTGATGTCCTGAACATTCCATGGGAATGGAAAAAGCAGGTACATGGAGTCAACCTGGAGATCATAGGACACCTGGTTCGATCTAAGGAGCTCTCTTTCTCCCTGCCGGACGGTAAGAAAGCCGATCTTGTCATGGCTTTGAGGACCTTTACGTTAACTAAGTCCAGGTCTTTGCGCAATTGGCAGTCATTGCTCGGTTGGGCGTCGTGGGGGTTGAATTCTTTCCCTCTGGGACGCTGGGCCCTCCAGTCTTCATGGGAAAAGATAGCTGGGAAGTCTCACAAGTTTCTAGTAGTACCTCACAACAAAACGGTGCAGAAGGATCTGTCTTGGCTGGCCGACTGTCTGGAAAAATCGACGGGTAACCTTTTCCTCGAGGCGGTCATCTGGTCGGTTAGCGAGGCCGATTTCCTATGCACGGCAGACGCCTGCCCGTCCGGACTAGGGGTTTGGCTGCCAAATACGGTGGAAGGGTTCCATTTTGCCCTGCCAGTGCCGTCACGTGACATTTATTGGGCAGAACTTGCAGCCACGTCACACGCCATCCTAATCGGGATTCGTGGTGGAGCAAAACGGTTGCTTATATGTTCAGATTCCTCTAACGTCTGCGACTTATTTCTCTCCCACCGCCCCAAGGAGAAGGTTTGCACTATGTTTTCGGCCATTATCTCCCACATTCTCGAAGCGAAGGTCAACGTGCGAGTACATCATCTTCCGGGGGTGAAGAACGTATTTGCTGACGCGTTGTCTCGCAACGCTCTCACCAATGTGCGACTCAAGATAAAGGAGGCCATCATTGCTCCTCTGGACGCTTTCCATTCGTTGCCGGACGGGGGTTTCCTCTCTCAGAAATAACGCCTCCCGGTTCTTCACGTTTTTCTCTCCGAGCGTTCTTTTCATTTTCTCTTTTTCTCCTTTGTGTTCTTTTCCTTTTTGTTTTCCTTTTTGTTTTTTATTTTACTTTATGTCTGCACCTTCAAAGCACGACCTTCTTCAGGCGCTCGCTAGGGCTGACGCCGATCAGGCGCTGGCCTCGTCCACCAAGGCGAAATATGGTAGCGCTATGATCTCTTTCTTAAATTTCTGTCACTCTATCTCAGTAGCTCCAGTCCCAACGGAACGAACTATCATCATGTACATTTCAGCGTCCTGCCAAACTATCAGCAAACGAACGGGGCGTCCCATCTCTCCTAGGACGGTTGAGGCCTATTTATCGGGCATTGCATCAGCTTTCAGTTCTTGCTATCCTAACATTACCGACATCACCAATAGTAAACCCGTACGCGACGTATTAAAAGGTTGCATGCGTCAATTCTCTCTTCCTGTGCTCCGGAAGGAGCCTCTTTCCCTACAAGACCTTGTCTCGGTCCACTCTGCGACCCCTCACAATTTTGACTCAATTTTGTTTCTAGCTATGCTGGTGTCGGGTTTCCATGCTCTACACCGGCTGGGCGAGTTGACCGTACCCGACAACGCCGGCGCGAGGGACGACAGAAAGCTTATCAAGCGTACCTCACTGTTTGTTTCTCAATGTGGTGGTTTTCTCCGCTACGCTCTCCCGTACAATAAGAGCAATCCGTTCTTTATCGGTTCGGCCGTCATACTCAGCCGCTGCAGCGTCACGGGTGCTTGTCCTCACTGTAAACATCATTCAACTTCCCCAATTTGGCAGAGGAAAATGATTAATAGTACAGTTTTTCATAAAAGAATCTAATACTGCACACCTGGGCCATTTCAACCACACTACATATGTGCAGCAAGCTAAGTCAATAGTTGTCTATCATGTACATACAGGTCTGCTCAGTTTTTTGCCCATCAGAATTAACTAAATCACATGTTATACCACATGTAACTTTTTCGACTTTGAAATTTTTTCCCAAAAAAT